GATCACGGAGCACAAACGAAGTTGCAGATTGGGACAAACGGAAAAATCAGCAGTAGCGGAGCACGCACTACTAGACGGCCACCAAATACGCTTCAGCGAAGTGGACATTCTGCACCAATCTGAAAGATACTACCCGAGACTCACCAGAGAGGCCATCGAGATATTTAAACACCAGAACAATTTTAACAGAAAGGAAGAAATTACGGCACTCAATCCAGAATCCTAAATGTAATATTTGAACAAATTCTGTTACTGACTGTAGATTAGAGGTCAAGCGGCACGTGCGTAAAATCGCGAAAGAAAAACGATGGCAATCGTATATTTGGGGAAAAAATATTCGAGAGGGAAACACATATTTATTATCATTCCGAAGCTGAATGGTACATTTAAAATCGGATATGGCCGATAGAGTTAAAAGTGAAGAACGCTTAAAACTTTGTCAGCTTTTTAAGGCTCGGAAGATACGTGCTCTTTCGGATCAGAAACATAGCATCTGTATTGCTATTGCTCAAGTGTAATCTAAAAATCTTACATACATTTTTTATTTAACTTTGATTTGGTATTGAACGGTGAGCAGACATACACTGTAATATACAAGGTGATACAAAATAAGCGTCATAAATTTTAAGGGATTAATGAACTTTACTTGAATAGTACATACGAGCACAATATTCAAACAATAGCCAGTAAACAGTACAAACGGAAGACCCATATGTCGGCGTTCTATTTGAAAAATGCGTGAAATTTGTGAATAAAAGAAAGGAAAAGTGCCTACGTAGAAACCCAAGTTCTGAGATTTTTGTATATCAACTTCATCCGAAAAGATAAAACAATTGCATTAAAAAAGTTTGCCAGCACTTGCCAGGGCGAAAACAGCGAAGATACACAAGTCAATATACCTAGAAAAGGAAATCCACGTCCCTTCATAGAATGCGCTCAAACCACTCATAATCCTTGTACAAATACGCCCTAATGCCGGGTCCAGACCAAGCATACAAAACCGAAACACTCATGCTTCACGAGAAAGTGGCGACAAATCCTATACATTTCGGCCACAGTTTTGTTTTGTTTCCAATTTCGGAGACTTTTGCAGTCCCAAATATGTTGTGTCTGTGTATTTTACGACTAGTTGTCGGCGGAGTGTGGACGGTGTGTGTTGACAATAGTAGGAGACCAAACCACTCTCACTTGAATCCACTCAACGTCGACACAGCATTTATATGCGAATACACCCAACGCCAACACACAACATTCTGAATACATATTAGAACATTCTCAGTATTATCAGACCAAGAAAAAAAAAGGAAATTAAACTTTTGAATGAAAAAGCAAAAAGAGAAATAATTTTTTATGCATGCGTTAATTATTTCTCTTGTATAAATAACTTTTTTCATACAGTAATTATTAAAAATTGTATTAACAATTAACTTGATACAGTAAATATATGAATAGGCTCTAAAATAAATGCCATATACAGTAAATATGGCATTTAAAGACAGTTAATTAAAGGCTGTTAAGTCTAAGACTGTTGATTAAAGCTTCACATACTTCAGGTATTATTACAGATATTGACTGCTTCGATACTTTTCCAAGATACGTTGGGCTGTGGAAGGAATTGCCTGTTGACAGAAATCTTTATGTTATTGCTAACCTTTCGGTTACACTTATAGCATTTCTGTAGTTGGTACGTCTTTTGGGAACTGTAAGACCAACAAGGCATATCAGATTCTCGAAATTTTCGGTGGAAATTTTTAGAAAATTTTTAACGCTTGAACGAATCTCACCACTTAGTCCAGTATCATCCTCACGCAACTGAAGTAACAATTTATTTATGAAATAACTTTCTCGCTTGGTCTCATCCAAAACCGTTTGCGTTTTATTTTTCCAACATTGGATGAAGAGGAGAGAAAGATATGACAACTGACGGCTAGCAATAAAGCTTCATTTTTTAAATTTTCTTTCTGGTGGAATGCCCACATGGTTAAACAACTGATTCGCATCAACTGATTTTTTTTACACATTTATCCTTATGGCGTGGACAGTTTGTATCAATTTTGTGTCTCGTCTGAATGCCTAAAATGTTGCCGCAATGTTGTCTTGTTTTTGTCGGCTTGGTCTGGACCAGGCAAAAGAAATCGCCTCAGTGCTGCATCAAGAGAACATTTTTTCCATGACGAGCTACAAGTTCGAAAAACATCGGTATCAGTGATAAGAACCCTTCAAATTTACTTTTCTGGGCGATATTCTAAATCGGTGAAACCAAATCGATGTTGAAATGAATGTTGAATGACCATGTTGAATATGTACTATTAGTTAATTTTACTAAAATTAAATTTACTAAAAGAGGGAATGTTGAAGCAAACTGATCTGCTGAACGCTGATGTGAAACCGCCAACCGAATCAAGATTCAAATATGTTGAATTCCTACCGTTCAATCGATTAATATGTGTTAAGTGTACTTAAATTGCAAATTTTGTTATATAAAGAATTAGTATGGTTCTTAAATCGATAGGCAATTCATGTAACGACTGTACGTATTTAAAAGCAGGTATTAATGTCACTGTTTTGGGAACTGAAATTGAGATTTTTATCAACTAATGAGAGCAGCCAATTTACAATGCCATCGGGAAGAGAATTCGTTTTAAATTTATTTTAATTTCATATGACATCTTCATTGATTTACGCCTCAAGCAACAGGCATCAATACAATGTTACTGCAAAAAACGATGATGGTCAAAATCAAACGCATCGTTGTCAAACTGAAGTTTACTCCTTCTCAGTTTACTCAGTCTTAGTCCTCTACAATATCTCAATGTAGAGGGAGAGTTACTTTTTGTCCTTTACTCCCTAAATATTCTCCAACAACACTTTCAGAGGAATTCTGAACACTAATTTTGAATCGCCCTGTATGGCAAATAATTCAGAGCATGTATATCCGTTATTAAATGGATTTGAACTTTACACACCTATTAAATATTTTACTTACTCGTGGGTGGTGGGACTTATGTTTATTCGCAAAGGTTCACTTCCCGATTCAAATTTATTCGCAATGGTGACATTGTGACCAAACATGCAATATCGTGGCATTTTAACTCCCACAACTCCTGCCAATACGGAACCGGTATGGAGTCCTATCCGCATCTGTAACAACAAAAACATTGTTTTTATGTCAACATCTAATCTGAAATACTTAGATATAATATTCACATTTGAGGAAATATAATCGTTAGTCCCTAATCAGGAATCACTTTAAAATCACACTATCATTTGAAAATAACTTATATTATATACGATTACCCAGCTTCTCAAATGATTTGAGGGAAAATGATTGAATATAGTGTTGTATATGGTGGCTACATTCGGATTGAGAGAGTACCAGACGGTCTACCAAAAAAAGTGACAGTATGTTGATCTGTAGTATATTTGGTAGGATCCGTTCAGTGTCTTAATACTTATAATACACGCTTAGTCTTGTGTCACCCAGAGCTTTACTAAAGAACGCAACAGATAGCACTAAGGGAAATAATGGGGAAAGAAAAAAATCCATCTCTTGAAATTATTTGAAAATAAATGATTGAAGTTATCACCAAACCAAATAATAGAGCCGTTTAGGTGAAATCTATCATAACTTTCTATTTTCACCCCATTTTGAGTTTTTAAAATCCCTGTATACAATGTCATAATTTTATAGATCACAAATACTCTGTTTAATTATTTTTACACGTAGAATCTTTGTTTAAAAAGTAAATCAGTTTAACAATAAATAATAACGTGATATTTAGTTTAATGGTACATTCTATTTCTTATGCAAACATGCCACACTGTTGACTAAGTATACACGTTCTTCCGAATGAACACGCGAAGCACTAACAAAACAGTCTACTGGTAATTAATCCAACAAATTGTGTTTGTAACTCCTGGTTTTTTGGTTACATTAGATAATTGCTTGATTGCGATCGTTTTGGTTTTTAAATCACAGGAACCTTTTATTTATATTAAACAATCTATCAAAATGTAGTTAAACGACTGATATGCGTCTTTGGTAGCTATTTCTTTCTGTAAAAATTAGCTTTACAATGTTTCTTTGTGGTTTGAAGAAAACATTTTTTTAGTGAAATTTAAATAGTCTGTTCTTATATTCGACAGGATAGGAAGTATAGGGGCACTTATACGAGATAATTTACTACATTCTTCCTTATCGAACCTATTTTTGCATATGGACGTGTAAAACATTAAAAAAAATTTGCATGGAACGTTATCAGCACAAAAAATTAAAAAATAGTCGATATATTTGCGATACCGATGTAAGCTAAAACTAAAACCTAAAACAGGAAAACTTTATAACTGATATATTTTTTGTCTAGTCGATAACCGAATCTCATATTTCATTTCATTTATAGAAATAATTAATAGGTAGATATAAGCAAATCACATATCCAAAAACAGGTATAACTTGTTAGTGTTATTTCAACAATATTTAAGCTAAATTTGTGAATATCTCGGCAATCAAACGAGGGAAAGAGCTACGCTTTCAAATACATTTCTCTGGTAGATTTGAAAAATAATTCCCTGGCTTTCAAATTTCCGAGTCTGAGTTACTGCGAGTAGCTTTACACGCTCAAATTTTAGCAAAGAATGGAGCCATTGTGTTTCCTGGAAGAGGCAAGCAAAAAGCTAAAGACGGCTAAGACAAAAACTACAACAGCGAAAGGAATTTAGTCCTTACGAACATGTAAAAAGCCTGAATTCGCGATTTGGTTTTGGAAGTTTAGTTAATGAGGTTCAGCTGGAATTATTGCCGTTTAATTGGTTGCAAGAAACTGGCATGTTCAAGTTCAACGTTAACTGAAAAAATGCGCTCTAAAATGTAGACTAAATCATGTAGGTTTTCCAGACTGACTTTCAAACTTTGATATAAACTATTTTCCTGGGTTTCAGTCATTTACTTACTCGTGTAGGTAGTTGTTGTTCATTGCAGAACAAAAATAGAAAAAACTTGTTTGTATTTAACTATCAGACTAAAATTTAAATATTAGACTAAAATTATTTTTCAAATTGAAATATTACTAAAAGTGCTGCTCTTGTAATTTTCAGTTAATATGGTTTCAATCATTATGTGTAAATTTATAGAAGCGCAAACATTTTGTCAACATAGTGTAATAGATAACACGATGTAGCTAGTGTATGACATAGTGGTTTATCTTGCTAATATACGATTATTTGATTAAACATAATGCATTAAACACCCCTTTAACGATAAATAGCTATTGTGTGGGTCGGACAATTTATACGTTAGAAATCTATTTAGAACGTGTCAAAAGTTTAAAGTCTAAAATGTAAATTCCGTTTTAAATGAAAGTTTATTTTAATTCCCCGAATTCTGACCATCTTTTCAATCCTATAACAGATCGAAAAGTATGTAGGTATATTGGTGGGACATTAAACAATTAATTCAATCCCATATTCAACGCTATTTCAAACTTTTGAATTTTCCCTTTTTCAATGTAATTATATAGTTATTTCTTTTGATTGGGACCATGTTTTTAAGCATTGATCAAACATACATCGAAACGGTATACAGACTTGTGGCAGCAAAACCGTAAATGATATTCCGCTAAGCAAAATGTGGAACTAAGTGCATACTAACTTGAGTAATCTCAATTAATCTTTGTTAAGTTCCCCCTCAATCTGTCGTTTCCCAGATACTGGTTAGCACAACTAAAAACATTGCTCTTCTTGCCGGGAAATGCAAAACACTCCAGGTGATTTCGACAAAATGCGAAAAAGTATGGTAAGACCGATTATTTAGTTTTATAAATTGAATTMAATCAATTACTCTAAAATCGATTTTCTTCGAAAATAGATTGAGATRCTGAAGTAARGCAAGAATGCGCAATTAACAGAAAAATTAATGCTATTTTAGGATTCGATTCAAATTTAATGTCAAATATACATATAGGGTAGAAGTAATAATTGTTAATAATGTTACTTAACCGATTGAAACCAGAATTCTCTTTAAAAAGGTTGAAAATGCCATGCATCAAAATACAGTGCAAATATCTGTGAAAGAAGAGTGTCTAAATACTAATTAAAGGAAGTAAAAAACAATGAAAGCAGTTCAGTTGATATTACGATAACACAATTGCTTATAATGCAACAATTTTTCTTTTCGAAAGAGAATTAAAAGATGTTTATATTAACTATTTTTATCGTTCTTTGTAAAAAGAATGATGCTATTTTCATCTTTAGCAACTATTTTCCGCACAATATTACCCAAATCAAAATTGCCGAAGACATTTATTGTACCATGACGTTGCAAGAGTACATACTATTTATCAAAGAAAACTTCACCTTTGCTGCTTCCAGTAATCTCAAGAAGGCCCTTTTAATGCATCGCTGAGCAAGCTAAACGCTGGATGCTGTAATCCATCACTCGTGCTATAAAACAGTTCTCAGACAGTATAATGTAAAAGCTCCACAAAATACATTTATATTTCGGTTGTACAGGTATCTGTGACTTGAGTGTGGATTCTCTGCTTCTGTATGTTGATGCTAACTTAGTTTCAGAAAAACTAAAAACTAAAAGAACTCAACCGTATCACTGTGAGCAGTTTACGAGATTGATTTAGACATAATTGGTTTATCAAATTTGAAAAATTTTTGGAAAAAAAATTTGGAAACTCTTTAAAGTTGATTGATAAATATTTAARAGTGACAAGTCAGATTACGCTTTTCAAATTGGATTAGTCTATAAACTATTTGATTTACTAGTCATTTGGCTAGRATTTTAGTTAGCCATTTAATTTGTATATTATACAAATAACTTCAAATTCATAAAAATCAACTTTCAATTAATTATAATCTTAATTCAGAACTATACTTTTTAAAACTAACCCTCTACAGCCATAGCCTAACCAGCTACAGCATTTGGAAAGAAATACATTTTAAAATTATCAATTTATTGTAAAAATCGACGTCAATCTATAGAAAATTTGAAATTAGAACAAGAAATTAAAGAAGCTTAGTCCCAGTTATATTGAAAAATGATAGAATGTTATATATATTTAGTTATTGTATACTACAACTCAGGCAAAAATAACAGGGTTCTAAAGCACGAATTTAACTAAATAACTTCAATATACATCTGCTCAAGTGTGTAACCTGCATATCATATAAAGTCATAAAGTGTAAATATTTCACAATCTTCCCCAATTTTATGTTTAGGCCACTATGTTAAATTTTTTCTTAGGGTTGATATCGGACGATTTATTAGACATTTTCCCTGAGATATGAAGAGTTTAATATTTTAAAATGAAACATTTACCATTGACTTTTTGGACGTAAATAGTAAATCTTGGTACATTCTTAATTTTACATATGTTTCCCATAAGATAAATTTTTCATTACAAATTAAAGTCTGGCGTCAATATTCGCATGCATCATCCACGAGTTTGACAGATGTATTATTTGTTTATACAGTCTCAATAAATATAATTAAATGTTTTTCATAAACGGAAACTTTTTGTGAAGCCCTAGTGTCCCACATACTGGAATAAATTGGCAAAGGCACAAAATCATTAATCGCATTTAACAGGGCCTAACTGGATGAGCGTCGCTTCCACTTTAAACTAACTCTCATAAAATCCAATTAAATTCTACCAATTTCCAACAAAAGTGAATTTGAAATGCTTGACCCTTTACGATAATTTTCAATTAGGGTCGTCCTAATTTCATTTAAAATTAAGGCGCGCATTGAATTGAATTCGCTATTTTTACATTCTTATATTAACTGATTTAAAATATACAGGGTGGATACATTCCTTGCAGGGGGTGATAGTGCAATTAATTTTGGATATATTTCGTTAATAGACCAGCTTCCGAAAACCAATAGTTTCCGATCTACAGGGTGTTAAAGTTTTAATTTAAAACATGTTATTTATTAATATTTCGAAAACCGCATGGACTATTGTAATAAAATTTGACAGGAAATTAAAAATAATACACGTTTTGCGGTAAAAATGTTGTTTCTATCTTTTCCAGTGGCGTGGCTGCAGGCACGTCTGTGGATAATTTTAACTAAAAAAATGTTGCGCCACTGATTGGTCTAAAGGTAAGTAATATTTTTCAAGTTCCTGTTCAAT